TATGTTTCCTTGGTGGTGGCATTCTCACAGCAATAGAACAGTAACTAAGAATTGCCCGTGCTGAGTGTACAGGGTACATTCACACCTGGCTTCTTATTTAGATGCTGGAGCATCGTACATTCATGTCAAGTAATTTTCTGACTGAGCTATCCACCCTGCCCTTCAGTCACCTAATCTTTTAAGATATAGGGTAATGATGGAGCAGGTTCAGTGAATTTAATTGCTCCAGTAACAACACTGCCTTAAACAGACCCATTGGCAATCCTTGAAGTGACACCTTCACAGATCCAGTCCAGCCTACCTCCTCCAGGAGTATGGTATACAATTCTTAGGAATGTTTTGGTTTGTCACAGACTATCATGTCCTCTCTACTGACATTCTTCACAGACTCCAAATACCATTAGCTGTGAGCTAAATAAAATCTGAGGCATTTTTTTTAAGGTTTAAAAAAAAATGTTTATGTGTATGTTTCGCCAAGCACTATCGTGGAATAAATAAGGATCGGGGAAAACAGGTGGATAGATGTTTATTCAGGAGAAATCACTTACAATCGAGACAGATGACTGCCAGCAGGTTCTTGTTCCAAGGATGCCTCCGGATCTGTCCCTGACTAGGAAGCAAAAGAGAGCCTCTGGGGTCACTGACTCCAGACCAGTTCTCCCAGATCAGGTCCGCACCTGTCTCCACCCCCCAATGGGCGTGGTCAGTGCAACAGGTGGGGGCGGAGTGAATATCTCACTACAGAGCAATGTGGGCATGCAATGTCTGGAAGCCAGAAGATGGCATCAGATTCCCCTGGGACTGGAGTTAACAGCTGTTTGTAAGCTGATATATGGGCACTGGGAATTGAACCAGGGTCCTTTGGAAGGAGCAGCCAATGCTTTTCATCTCTGGGCCATCTCTCCAGCTCTTCAAGGACATTCTTGAACAAATGATCAGAATAGAAAGAAACCCCACAAATGTTTCAGAGAGACAAGAATAGTGAGGCTTTGGTGTTGCTTTTCCAGAATTACGAGTGTGGAACAGAGTCTGGAAAGAGACTCTTCACTCAAGCTCATTTCCCTGTTTCTCCCTACAGCTCAAGTTTTCATGAAGCTCAAGTTGCTCTTGAATGTTTCTATGTACTAAGGCTGAGAATCTGAATGTGAAAGGAGTTTAAGGTACCATCAAGGAGAGAGAAAGCAAGCTGTTTGGGAGGAATTTCCTCCCCCTAGACTCAAAACTGTACCCGAATGTTCAGCATCCTGACTGTATATAAACACTGCCTTCCTCATGATCCTGGTCTTTCAGATTCCTACTATTGAAAGACAAAAAAATAAAGTTAAGGAAACCCCCCCCCCACTTGAAATGAAGGACAGTCTGACCTGGAAAGCTAACCCAGACCACTATCAGTTCCTTGGAATTTGCCAACTTTCCCTCACAAGGCCCTAAGATAGCAGGATACCAAGAATTCACACTGCCCCTCCTTTCAGTGAGTCAGTAGGTGGTAAATAGGGTCCTTAAGAAACAAAAAGATAGCTGTACCTCTGATTTGCCCAGACAAGATTAATTAGCACACCCCGAGGCCCTATGGTCTGCTGACCCTAACAGCGAGACCATCTGGCCTCAAAGAGTCCTTTACTCAATGGACAGAAGATCACACCCCCTGCCTAAGCTTGTGGGTTTTGCCTTTAAAAATGCCTGTGCCTGGAGAATGATGCTTCTCTCTAGCCTGTGTGCTGAGGGGGCCCGTTTGCACAAACATTTCCTGTTCATTAAAGCCTCTTGCTTGTTGCATCAACTGTACTGGCCATTGAGTTCTTGGGGGTACCGACCGAAACTGGGAGACTCCTCATTCTGAGGGTCTTACACTATGAGCACAGGTCAAGAAGTAACCTGGCTGCTGAGGGGAAAGAGGCCATGTACCCTTCTACCTCTGACCTGTACATATCTGTCTGTGTGAGACCAAGAGTCTCTCTTGCCTGTCCATGGTGGAGAGCTGCCTCTTCCCTCAGCATGACTCTGACCCTCTAGTGCACACATGTATCCACTACACCATCAAATCCTCTTTGAAAACTTTATGAATCGACCAGCATCAATATTGCTAGGTACTGATTAAGACTAGAGCATGTTACAGATGGCCAAGGAAAGTTCAGAAAAATGAAATCACTGGCTCCCACATGGTGGTCCAGGAACCAATCCAGTTCTTGTGTTTTTACTGGTCCTTGGCAAAACAGGAGAAATGAGAATGTGAAAAGTTTTGCATGAGTATGGTTTTTTGAGGCAGGATTTCTCTGTGTAACCCTGGCTGTCTTGGAACTTGTACTATAGACCAGGCTGGCCTCTAACTCAGTCTCCTAAGTGTTGGGATTAAAGGCATGAAGCACCATTCCCATCTTGAAACTACCCAGTTTTTAAATTGTGAGATTATACCTTTTATAAATGATCTGAGAGAAGCTGGGATTTGAAACTAGATATTTGGATGCTTTCCTTAATTCACATTACACTAGTATCTTTGAAAAGATTTAAAAATAACTAATTTAAAATTCAAGTTTAGGTATCATTTATTTATTTATTAGGCACTGGGATCTTTCTCTAGCCCCCATCGCTAGAGCAGCTTTGAACTCCTAGGCTCAAGTCATCCTTCTGCCTCAGCCAAGGATTATAGGAATGTACCTATATTTGTACATTTGTATTTTTGAAAGTATACCAGGTATAATTCCAGCATTCAAGAAGCAGAGGCAGGAGAACCATTGCAAGTTTAAGGCAAGGTCAGCCTGGGTTAAAAAGTGAGTACCAGGCCACTCAGAGCTACATAGAGACACCCGATCTACAAATAAATAAAAGAATTGAAAATTATATGTAATATCTCATACACATACATACATACATAGCTAACTCTTCATGCTACCTTACATGAGACTAAAAAGTCAATTCCTATACAGATAGGTGAGAAAGTAGACTGGAAAGAGTTGCTGTTTCTGACCCAGCTCTTACAGGTAGGAATCTAGTCCAAAATTCTAGTGCAGCATTGAAGGTAGCATGTCTCCCCCTGCTGGAAATAGTGTTGGCAATATAAATCTTGAGCCTCCAGGGGTACTGGAGAGGATTCAAGCTGCCAAGACTCGAAACCCAAAAGATTCATGCTTCAAAATCTACTCTTCATTACAGGGCCTTAGCCCAACCAAGAGTCTTAGAATAATGACTAAAGGCCCCAGGAAGCTGACCTTACAGGGGCCAATTTACAGCCCTGGGAAATCCATAAAGGGAGAAACAAACAAACAACAAACAAACAAACAAAAACCCAATGATTTGGCTACCTAACAATATTATCTACTTCCATGGACTTCTTCATATAGAACCATAGAGTAAAATAATCATAAAATGACACCTATCTATAAATACCACTGATATTATTTTGAAATTCAAGTAGTTACTACATAATGGCTGTCTGCTAATATGCAAGGGAAATCTTGACTTATTTTCCCCCTTTGAGGTCCAAGACAAAGCCATTCCTCATGGTTCTGCATATTTCATTTATTAATTTCTGCCTGTATGCATTATTCCATTTGCATTACTATAAACTGACTTTTATCTGTCTTTAAGCTTTACCTAGTTTCTTCTTCTTTCAATAACAATTCAAGCTGAGTAATTTTTTCTCCTTTACTTTTATTGATTTGTTCACTTTTTTTGGCATTTAACATTCTCTCAAGTTGGTTATTAGACCATTTTGTCTCATGTGTTTGATCTTTAAGGTGTTTGAAGGCAAAGATCATTTTAGTTAGGGGCAGTATGTCTTCCCTGTTGGGCTCAGGCTTTGCAGCTGTATCATGGGCACAAACTTGACTTCCCTAGTTTATAAACTAAGTATAACAGCACCTACACCATACAATTGTTGGGGCATCCTGAGAAAATACAAGTAAAGCTACAGTTCTTAATGATTTGATAACGGTTAATCATTGTTTTCATTTCCTTCATTTCCTCCATTTCCCAAACAACAGTCTTAACGGTGTAGGCATTCAATTATTACTTGTTGGGAGGGCTTATGGTAATAAGCACATTCATACTCACTAATAAATTAGCATTATCTGTATCTGGATGAATAATGTGATTAACTATGACCTTTTAAGCTGCTTGGATTACCAATGCAGGACCGTTCGCCATCTAGATCCACATGTCCAGTTTAATTATTTGCAACTAGTGCCAAGAACGTGCGATAACCTTCGCTGTTCAATGAAGTAGCCATTAGCTGCCCTGTGGACCCTGAGCTCTTGTAATGCCGCCAGTGCGCCTGAAACCATAGCATCCTCATTTTAGTTAACAGCTCTTTCTGGAGCACCCGGTCGGACAGACATGGGCCGCTACAGAAGCGGCCTCGAACTGTCAGCTTAGGCTTGCTCTTTTTCAGCTGTGAAGCACTCCCCTTGCGGGACTTCGTCTATAAACCCTGACACCTCCCACTGCACGAGGCAGAGCGAGCCAACCATCAACTGGCATGGAATCGTCCCACTAAAATGCTCATTGCGTCTAGTCCTCGTGCACGGCCTGCAGGGTTGACGGGAAGACAAACCGGGCGACAGGCGTGGCAAAAATGTGAGCGAGCTGCAGGGACACCGCGCGCGACGGCCAGCCCGAGCGAGTCCTCCCACGCTGGGTGCCGCAGCCCCCGCAGGCCGGGCGCGAGCAGTTCCGGTGCCCACCCCTAACGGCGTCGAGGGGACACGCCCCGAGGGCAGCTTCCCTTCAGGGCCCCCAAACGAATCCCGACTCCTGCCGTGTGGCTACAGCCAGCACCCCTGCCTTCCAACCCCAGTCATGAGCGCCGGCTCTCAGCACGATAACTCGGCAAAATGGCGGCGAGGCCTTAGGCGCCGACCATAGAGAGGACCGCCGCAGTGGAGAGAGCGCCGCTCTCCCCGCCGTCTTCCGGCGTAGAGAGAGGAAGTGGGAGGGAGGGGAGGGCGGGTCTCCAAGTGCCCTTCTAGGAGCACAGCGCGCAGTCTCTATGGTGCGGGTTCCGTGGAGCCGGGCCACGTGACTGGCGAGGGGGAGGAGAAATGGGCGGGAGGCCTGCGGGATAGCTGGAGACCCGGCGAATGTCAGGTTGTCATGGAGTCGTGGGGTCCGGCCCGCGCATGCGCCACCTGACCCGCCGGGCTGGTGGTGGAGCGGCGACCCTGGCCGTAGGTGAGAAAGGCAGGGCTCGCTAAGCTCCGGGCACCGTGGGAACTGGGATGGCGGCACTGGGAGGGTTTGGGACCGGGAGCGCTGAGAACGCAGGTGGAAGCAGGTGGAAGAGGAAGGAGAGCGAAGTGGACACAAAGGAGAACCAGGACTTTGGGGGAACGGGCTAGAGGGGCGCCAAATTTTGGGAGCAGAGGGACTCGCCATCCCTGCCTTCCATTTAGTTGTTCTGCTTTAAGGGTCGGGCCGGCGTGGGAAAGGGAATCTGGGGTGAGGCAGAGACCGTGTGTAGGGAGGGGCCTGTGTGTGTGTGGCAAGTGGTGTGAGTCCCTTAGGGCACGTGTGCCCCGCCTGGCCCTGGATGCCGTGGCTCCTGCAGGAGGACAGCCTTGAAGGCCTGCTGGGCTGTAAGCACAGGGGGTCTGGGAACGGGCTGGTTGGTGGGCACGAGGGCTACTTACCGAGTGAGTAAGTCCAGGTGAGTGTCCAGGACCTTCATTTAGAAGTTATGCCCAGACACAGGTGCACTGTCTATTCCTGAGGCCTGCGGTCCCCTACTTTAGGCCAGCTAGGCAGGCGTAGTGCCAAGGAGGGATGCGAGGAAGAAGGTGGATAGTGCCAAGAAGTCAATGGTTAGTGGGTGGGTAGGGCAGTTTTGATCCAGACTCAGGACCCAGGCCAGAGCCAAGCTCTCTGTTTATTGCCCAAGTCCTGGCAGTAGGCATTGCCTGGGCATTTGCCCTGGAGACTGGTGGTATGCCAGTCACAGCATAGTCCTGTGGTCTGCCCAATTCTGCCCTGTTGAGTTGGCAGACTAGTTGATGCCTGGAGGGTGTGCATGCTGCCTGGCACAGATGTCATGTGGGCTGGTGCGAACGGATAGGTGGGTACTGTTAATGTGAGCCCCCTTTCCAAGTGATCTGAGGACGTTCTCTAATCACACGGCCCCCTTTAAAAGATGAGGATGGAGAGAGCCACGGGAAACCGTGTGACCGTGTGGAAGTCTTTGACATGACTTTTTCAGCCAGTTTTGAGAATGGGAAGGAGTGTGAAGGAGATTATGAATAATAGACACGTAGGCAGGTACAGTTTTTCCGTCATTAAAATACACATTCTCCTGGAATGGTATTTGTGGAAATGCAGCTCAAAAGAAAACAACTTCAGAGAAAACCTACAGATACATTTATAACTGGGCTTACTTGTGGTTTTGTGGCCAATAAAGGCTTTACTGTCTATGGCCTTATCACTTTATTCTATATAAGCCTTTGCTTGGGCTTTCACCTCACACCTTTGTGCACGCATGTCATACACGTGACACATTTAAAGGGAACGTGAGCTCTCAGGAATGTTGCCAAGTAGCTATAAAAGGATAGTGCTAAAAGCTGTAGTTCAGATTGTTTCCCTGTAACCCTTTGATTGCCTTTTCGTCCCAAACTCAAAACTCCCCAGAGATAGCGGGTTACACCAACTTTTAATTTGGTTGGTATATTTGTCCTTATGGTTTCATCTTAGAATAAGGGGTATATATTGGACTAGACCTGAAAGACCTGAAAATTAGATCTTGAAGTGGTCATGGTGTTTGGAAAAACTGCACTCAGGTATTTTGGTGACTGCTTAAACTGCTTTGGCTTTCAGAGGAGATTTGTTAGATTTAGTATTCTCTTAAATGCCTCACCAGTCTGTTGCAAAGATGGAAACAAAATGAAACCAGAACCAACGGCTGGTGAGGTTCTAGAGACGAATAATGACTCTAATTTAAGAAGTGAACAACGGAGTACTTCTGAGAATGTTACCCTGTACCAGTTTATGTGAACTTATGTGTTGACTAATTTCCAATTTGAATTTTACTGTACACGGCCCACATTGACAGCCTTTTGGATAATGTGTTACATGTATATCCATATGAGGCCCAATTAGCGTGGCTCTGCCTGCTTGGGAGCATCAGTCCTCATGCAGAGTGAGTGAGTGGAGTGCAGGGGTCTGAGATGTGTAGAAAGTGATAGTGGCTTCCCACTGTTGTTGGGAAGCAGAGAGATGAGGTGGCAGGTGAAGACTGTGCAACCCATTTTCAAATGCTTGTAACTATCTAACTTTATCGTAAACTAATGCTGAGGAGGGACAATAAAACCCTCTTGATTTCTTGAGTTTTTATGTTTTCCCTGGTCCTGGGCTTAGGGGTGCTTGTGGGAAATGCCACCCCTCCGTTTTTTCTATCTTGTGTGCTGTGTGTGCCAGCCCACTCGCTCCCAAAGAAGGGAGGTGGTATAGCCCTTGTGCTTCTACTCACATGGGCCGCCTTGGCTGGAACTCGAGGCTTTTTTCCTGCTTAAATTGAACTTTATCAAGAAGAGAGACTTACATATTTTTAATTCTTTTTGCATCCAAAACAGACACTCTAAAGGCAACGTGTGCAGTTTGTTATTTTTATTCCCAGTTGCCACCAACTCCCTAGGATCTAAACTTGTAGAATATAACTTATTAAAGTTTTAGTGTTTTGGTTCTGTTGTCAACATTAGCCTGTACATTCTCTGAACCAGAGTAAATTTGTGTTTTTCTGTAGCTCTATTGACTGCATTTTAATAACAGTACTAGCATTTTAGTAGTCTTTTTGTCTTGTCAGGAGGATCACAGAAGACTTAATCGGGGTTCAGTAAGATATTATGGATTTTTTTTTCTCAGATTCTTAATTAGTTGCACCTGACTTGACTTGCCCTTCTAATCTGGATCAACAGCTTGGTCAGACCTTCCTTAGCTGAATGGCTTCCAGAAACCACATCTAGTTTCATTTTAAAGATGGCTCTGTTCACTTTTGAACAGTATTGTTTTGGGAAAATTACACTATTCACATTTGTTGGGTTTCCTACAAAAGGATCCTATTTTAGTTAGGGCTACAGTGTTATATTTTAGTCCACTTTTGAACAAGGATTGTTCAAGCTATCAGACAACGTAGCTGTGAAACAGAGAGACATTGCCTTTGTATAGTGCTCTGTTAAATGTGGCAGTGTCATTGCTTTATCATTGTGTGTGGAGGGTTAAGCATGTGACTGGTCGAAGAGTGATTTGACATGAGCTGGATGAGGCTAGCAAACTTTAAATGAGTTAGATGTGGGGCAAAATGACTTTTACTTGGATTCATGTAGCGAGTACGGTCATTTAGCATTTACTCTCATTCAGACCAGTTTGTCGCTTTAGTCCACTGCAGTTGTCCATAAGAGTGGTTCTCAACCTTCCTAAGGCTGTGTGACCCTTTAATACAGTTCCTCATGTTGTGGTGATGCCCAACCATAAGACTGTTTCATTGCTACTTCATAACTGTCATGAATTGTAAATATCTGATGTGCAGGATATCTGATGCGAGAGCCTGTGGAAGGGTCTTTTGACCCCCAAAGGGGTTGAGACCCATATGTTGAGAACCACTCACTGGTCTGTATATATGTGAGCAAGAAGTTACTCAAGCGTGCATGGAAGCATGTGTGTCCTGTTTCATTTCACCAAGAGGCTTCCCTCTAATGTTTCTCACTGGGTCCTGAACTAGCAGAAATGTTGAGATATGACACTTCAGGATATTCCAGGGACAGTGATGCTTGGCTGAGGTGCATGGAGTCCTGAGTGGATTTGGAGTTAAAGCATCTCTGGGCTTTGCTTACGCCTGCCCAGTTTCATTACTGCTTTCCTCGGTGGCACCATGTTTTCTTTATCTCCAAAGTGTCACTCCTTTTTGTTGTTTTAAGACAGGATCTGGCCAGGTAGCCCTAGCTGGCCTGAAGCTCACTATATAGACCAAGTTGGCCTCCGACTCCCCGAGGTCCCTGACCTGGCCTCCTGAGTTCTTGGAGTGTGCCACCACTGCTACCGCTCTTTAGTTAATAATATCCATAGTCTTTCCAGCATGTGTGATTGCAAGGCCTGTCTGCCCTGTGTGTCCGCCTGCCTTCCCTCTGCTTCCCCCACTCCCATTGACGGTGCATGGTATTCTGCTCCTGCACTATGCTCTCCATCTGGGCCATTCACTTCTGCATACACCATGTTCTTTCTCCTTTCAGCCTTCACATTGGCCTGCAACACACTGCACAGCTCACCTATAGCCTTTGACCGCACTAATGCCTGCTGACTCCCCATCCTCCAGATTCCAGCCACATGGCCCTTTCCTGGTGCCCCAGACTGTCAGCCTTACTTCTTCGTAGCTCCTGTCAACATAGCCATCAAGTATATGAATACATGGTTAATATCCGTTCCTTTCACTAGATCACAAGCTGCAGGAAGGATAGATACAAACACACACAATTATTCTACTCACTCTGTATCCTGTCTAGCACAATGCCCAATTTATAGGGGCACTTGATACATGTTTGTTTATGTATACAAGTGACTGAATGTAATATATCTGAGCTTCATTGCAAAATGGAATTATAACTGAGGAGGATCTTGTGAAACTTAAGAGTAACATTAACAGCAATGTTACATACCCTTATGCAGTATAAGCACTTACAGTTTAAAATTTTTGTTTCGTATATATGAGTGTTTTGTTTGTATGCATTTCTATGTACCACTTGTATGCCTAGTGCCCACAGATATTTGGATTCCCTAGGACTAGAGTTGTTGTGAGACACCATGTGGGTGCTGAGAAATCAAACCTGCTCCTAACTGTTGAGCCAACTTTCCAGCCCATCCTCTATAAGCACTTCTTAAATATGTTTATACATAAAGGTTTTTGCTTCTTTGTTGTGATCAAACTTGGGCCTTAAGTATACTAAGTAATCATTCTACCACTGAGCTGTACCTTTGGGCTGTAAACGTTTTGTGGTTTGTTTTTTTTTTTTTTTAATAATTTATTCAACTTTTATGTGCATTGGTGTCATACCTTAGAATTGGAGTTACAGACAGTTGTGAGTTGCCGTGTGGGTACTGGGAATAGAACACAGTTCTTCTGGAGAACAGCCAGTGCTATTAACTGATGAGCTATCTCCAGCCCCCTTGTGGGTTTTTTTTAAATTATTATGTTAAAAAAGAGCATATAGAGCCAGTGAGACAGTTCAGCAGGAGGAGGTGCTTGCCACCTGACAACCTGGGTTTGATCTCCAGGACCCATGAGGTGGAAGGATAGAACCAACTCCTGCACACATGCGTGCACATGCAAATGTATACACATACACAAAAATAAATACATGTAAAAAGTCTTTTGAAGTAGCATATACGTGTGTATGCACACAAGTATGTATGACTTTGGTTGTACTCTCTCAGTACTTCATTCTAAGAACTGAGAGCTTAATTTAAGAAGTGCCATGTTGTGAGTGGAGGCACTAGGTCATGATCCAGCAGCTATCTACTGGGAAAGGAGTCCTCCCCTCCCCTCCCTTGCCCTCCCCTCCCCTCCTCTCTGTTCCCCTCCCCTCTCTTCCCCTCCCCTCCCCTCTCTTCCCCTTCCCTCCCTTCCCCTCTTTAGGGAGGAGGGCAAGTTTATTTGGTTACCCATTCCAAAAAGCCGAATCAAATGTCCCTTTGTTAGTAGTTCACAAAGCTCCCACTGAGTGTGGCTTGTGTGCTTGAATTCGCAATGGAATTAGAGGGCAGCAAGGGGATGGTGAGCCTCCTTTTGGGTGGAAACCATTCTGTTTAGTAAACTTGAAGCTTGGTCAGCCGAGACAACAGAGGAGGTGTAGCTGAAGTGGGTGAGGCTAGCATTCTTTACCCCTGTTTTCTTCACCATTTGGCTCACCTGGTTCACTTTGAAGGTAATGGCTTCTTATGTAATTGTTGTTTTTCATAGAGCAATCCATATGCAAAGACTAGCTGTGATCCAGCTTCCAGCCCGCTGAAACATGGAGAGGAAAATGTCATCCAGAGAGAGCCCTCGGAGACTCTTTGCCAAGCCGGGCCGAGGCACAGAGATGGAAAGAGCAGCTCGGCCGCTCGGTGTGGCCGCTGCTGACTCAGACAAGGACTCTGGCTTTTCAGGTTAACAGTATCTTTTTCTCCTGCCTTTTACCGAATGATTTGCATGAAAACATTCCTGCCTGAAACTCATTCCTGCCTGAAACTCACTCGTACAAAAATGACAAGAAACCTTCACACACAGGATAAGTAACTATCTGAGCTCTTAAAAATAGCAGTTCTGAAAATAAGGGGGTGGGGGGACTAATTCTGGTGTCTTATGGCAGATATCCATTAAGGCACCATGGGGTTAGTTCTGAAAAAGTAATTTGATGCCCCTTTCTTTCAATTTAGACTTTAAACATTGGATCCTTTATTTCAAACTAGTTACTAGAAAAAATATTTAAACATGTACTGGAAATATAGTTGAGTTGTAGAGTGCTTGCCTAGCATGCAGGAAGCCCTGGTTTGGATCCCTGGCACTTCATAAAACTGGGCAGGCTGGCACACGCCTGCAATCCCAGCACTGGAAGGTAGAAACAGGAGGATCGGAGATTCAGGGTCATCCTTAGCTATGTATGAATTCAAGACCAGTCTGAATTACATGAGATCCTGTCTCAAAGACAAGTATTTTTAAAAATACTCAGAGTTCTGTTGTGTTAACCCCTTTTTTCGTGGCGGGAAAAAGGAAAAATAAAATACTACTGTGCCTTGTTGCCATGTAGCAGAGTGAAGGTTAGCTAAAAGCAATGCAGTCATGTATTATGTTACAAGAAGCTGATCTTTATGGGATGTTCATCCTTGTGTGAACACTAGGGTGTACTTTCATAAGCCTAGATGATATAGCCTGTTACATACTTAGGCTATATGGTATAGTCATCATCTCAAATGTGGTCTGTTATTGGCTGAACCATCTTTATGTGGTAAGCAACTATCATTTGTTAAGGTAACCCTTGCTATACTTAAAAATCCCCTTCTAGCAGCTTTTCCTAATAACTGGACCCTTTGTGTGTGGACTGTGAGACACCTGGCCTAATTGTGAACTCTATTAGAGATAAGAAAGTAGAACAGGAGACTGGAAGGTGGCTCAACAGTTAAGAGCACTGACCGCTTCTGCAGAGGACATGAGTGCAGTGTCAACTCCCACATCAGGTGACGCACAGCCACTTGTAATATAGTTCCAGGGGGCCTGACACCCTCTTGTGGTCTCTGAGGGCACATGCATGTACACAGTGAATGTATATACAGACAAATGGGCACATACACATAAAAGATACTCAAATCTTTGAACGTGTATGGTGGAATACGCCTTTAATCCAGGACTTGGGAGGCAGAAGAAGGTGAATTTCTATGAGTTCAAACCCAGTATGGTCTACATAGTGAGTTCTAAGACCGTCAAGGCTACATAATGAGCCCCATCTAAAAAAATAAAAACCAAACAAACAGCCCCCCCAACCAATCTCTTATTTATCATTATCATGGTTGTCGTCATCATCATTATTACTTGACACAGGATCTGTCTCCAAGTGCTGGATTAAAGGTATGCACCGTGACATGTGGCCTCAAAAAACCAATTTTTTAAAAAATAAAAAAGGGCTGGAGAGATGGCTCAGTGGTTAAGAGCACTGACTGCCTTCTAGTGGACCATGGTTCAATTCCCAGCACCCACATGGGGGCTCACAACTGTCTGTAGCTCCAGTTTTACAGACATACATGCAGGTTAAAAAACACTGATGCCCTAAAAACACCAATGCCCATATAATAAAAATAAACAAACTATAAAAAAAACCAAATATTAGTAAAGCAAGTTTTATTGATAGCCATTCAGAGTCTTCCTTAGGAGGGCTGGCTGTAACCCCCAGCTCAACCTCATAATTCCCTGCTGAGAATCTCATTTCTACATTGCTATGACTGAGGGTAGTGGCTTGGACTACTCTCAATATTGAATTAATGTCAACATTATTGTCTCAGGAGATTACCAGGATGATGCCAGGGGATTCGGGCTTACTATCCCGAGAATGGAGGTTTGTCTAGGGAAAGGTTTATAGGTATTACTCAGGCTCCAGAGACAATCCACCTGTATTACTGATTTACTAACTTATACTGGGAAATGCTGCTGTTAGGAAATCTAGGACTCTCCCCTTCTTGGATTGTTACGTTTTCTTCTCAGAGGCATGCTGAATGAGATGCTCAGTTATAAATAGACTATTATTCAGAGAGGGACAGCACTGGCCCAGGGGGTTAGAACAGAGTAGTTAATGTCCTGCCCAGGGCCAGGGCAGCCCAGGGCAGGGTGAGCCAGCCTGCAGCACTTTGGGTTTCCTGCTTAGAATGTAGATACTTACCAGGCTTGTCTCAGCATAAAATCCGTCTGAAACATCTATTAAAGATTTAGATTTCTAGACCTTCCTAGAGATTCTGGGGAAGGGCCTGGAAAATGGAGCCTATAAAACAAGGTCAAAGGTCTTTTCTTTCTTTATCACATTTGTTTTTGATCTGTTTCTAGATCATAAAGATAATGCATCTGCATAGTAGAAGTTTAGACACTTGGGAAAGTCAAAGAAGACGACTTTACTCATAATCCTTCCATTTATAATTCCCAGGACCATTACCTTTTAGTTCCTTCTTCTGAAGTCTTTAACTTTGTCAGGTCAGTTGTTTTAATACTGTTCGAACACAGAATGGTATAAAAAATGACCACCCTTATTCCTGTTTTCAGAAGGCAAGTTCCAGTGAACTCTTGGGGCAGGTTCCAGGGACATGGTCTCTGCCTGAATTATTCCAGTTACCTTGGATATGATGAAATTCATACTTGATCTTAGCCAAAATGCTGGCTGAGAAGCATTTCAGCAAAATTTGCAAAATCAAGATGGATGGTATTTTCTGTTTTAATTATTTCCCCAATCTAACTAGTATTTTCGTGCACTAATGTTTCATATCTAGGGATAACCACATATTGGATACAGTTCTGTGTTAGAGCCCAGTCCAAACTACTCAAAGCTTTAGACTCACCCTGAATGTGTAGAATTCTGTAGTAATTTAGTTTGTTGGTCCATTAACCTTATATTTTTGTTACCTACATTGTCTCAAATTTGGCCAGTGAGTTATATTTGCCATTGTCTCCTTTGATACCTTCTCCCTCAGTGTTTGAGCACCTCTTTCATTTTTGGGGACTACAAACTGTCTAGGTTCATCTTGTACCTTTTAAGCCAAAGACTTGCAGTAGCTCTTTCTCCAAGGACACTGGCTTCTTTATATGTAGAATGCATTTCTGTTCCCAAATCACACTTGTTTCTGGTCTGGTAGTTCTGGTCTGGTAGTGTATCAGAAGTATACATTTGGATTAACTGTTTGATCAAGGATGCACTCCACCAGCTATGTCTTGAGAAGTGTCACTAGACATTCGGGATTATACCTGTTGAAAATGCCTTTCTAATCACATAGCTGCACAAGATACAAGGTACAATTCTTTAAATTACCTTGGACTTTCAGTCCTTCTGCCTCAGCTTCCCGAGGGATGGGATTGTAGGCGTGTGCTGCCATGCCTGCTTTGTTCTGGTCTCTCTCTCTTCAGGTGGTGCTCATGTATCCCTAGCCTCAAACTCTCTATGTAACCAGAGATGACTTTAAATTCCTCATCTCCCTGCCCCTACCTCTTGTGGAGGCATGTACCACCAGACCTAGCTTATGTGGGGTGGATATAGAACCTAAGGCTGTTACATGCCCAGAAAGCTCTCTATCAACTGAGCTGCACATTGGTGAGTGTTTAGAATAGTCCCAGACACCTCTGTAGCAAGGTACAACCGTCTCTTGGTTTCTTCTGGCAGGTATCTGACTGTATTTGTTTTATGTGGAATTAACATAGGGAGAACTGTAGTCAGATAACCACCCCGCCTGCACCTGTTGCCATAACCAAAATATCTAACAGAAAGTTTTGTGTTGCTCACAACGGTCTCAATCCTTAGAGGCAGAAGGTACAGGCCAGCAGCTTCTTCTGTGGAGGTAAAAGTGTGCAGCAATGGACAGGAGCAGAGAAAGCAGGCCCTAGTCAAAGCCTGGTACAGCACGCCAAGGCCTGCCCTCAGCCACCTATTGGCCTTCAAAATAGAGCCACAAACTGGGGATCAAAGGTTCACAACACAGGCCTGTGGCCTGTGGGAGACACTTCGGATGCAAACCATGGCAGCGCCCTTTTGTTCCCTTTAGTGCGGGATTCCCAGTAAGCTCTCATGTGTTCAGGACATCAGCAAAGTTAGGTGCTTAACAGGGTGGCAGGGGACAACAGAGAGAAACAGTTTAGCTTCAGCTTTGACAAGTGCCTTAAGATTTCTTTTCCTGTCACTGTGATAAAATAAATACTCAGACAAAAGCAATTTATGGAAAGGAGTTAATTTCAGCTCACAGTTGAGTTATAGTTGCACATGGCAGGAAGTCACAGCAGTGGGAACTTGAGGCAGTTTCTTTCCTCCCACAGTCAGGAAGCACAGTAAGGAGTGCTGGTGCTAGCTCACTGCCTTCTCTTTATGTACAAGGGTCCCTGCTCAGGGAGTGGTCCTGCCTGCACCCGAGTCTGTCCACACCAATTAGCCTAATGGAGATAATCCCTCACTGACGTGGAGAACCTGATCTAGGTAATCCTTCACGGCTGTGCCTTTGTCTCCTAGGCAATTGTAGATTCTCCCAACGGTTAGCACTAACCATTCAATCAGAAAACTCAGGACAAAGCTTTCCTTTCATTTTAAAATGGATATAAATTTTAATTGCCTTTGCTTTTATACTTTAATCTTATCATGTGGTTTCCAGGGCCTCAAAAGATCTTAATTCTGCCTGGAATCACACTTTCTCCCCACTTGTCAACAATAGATTTTAAAAATAATTACCTAGTGCTGATGAAATGGCTCTGTAGGTAAAGTCACTTGACACTACGCTGACAACTTAGTAGCAGAGAACTGACTCTTGCAGGTTGTCCTCTGACCTCCAGACACCCCCTCCACCTCCACACATACCAAATGTAACCAAAAATGTGTTAGAATAATAGGATGAGACCAATGATCTCACTTTGGAGCCTTCAACTCACTTCTCACATGATCTGGGGATGAGTCTTCTCACAGGAACCCTGCCTGGCTTACGCTTTTAGAGCAAGAGGGATGGTTGATGAACATTCAGTGAAATTTCCACCTAAGAGGACCCACAGAAACACCTATCAAAGATGTTCCTTTCTGTTTTAGGGAGTCCTTTCTGTTTTACAGGCTGGGTTATGAGCCATTAGCTAGAGCGCATGTGAACTGACCCTTTTTTCTGCCCAGCAGATGGCAGCTCAGAATGCTTGAGCTCTGCAGAGCAGATGGAATCAGAGGACATGCTGAGTGCTTTGGGCTGGAGCAGGGAGGACAGGCTGAGGCCGAGCTCCAGAGCTGCAAGCACCGCCTTCCCTGCGCTGTCCCCTATGGTGGTCATGAAGAACGTGCTGGTCAAGCAGGTGAGGTGCACCAGTGGGATCCACAGTCTGCAGATGAACGTTTCTGTACTTCCCTGTGCAAACACTTGCTGTGCAGGAGGATTTCAGAAACACTAGAGCCAAACTGATGTGGACCTCCCTCCCAGGAGAGGGGGGCCCCTTGTTTGTTTGCTTTCTGATTTACATTTCTTTAGGATTTATTTTTTAAAGTGTGTGTGTGTGTGTGTGTGTGTGTGTGTGTGTGTGTGTGATACAAATACTCTACCCTGTCTTCCTCTGATCTGAGGACACCTGAGCTCACATGCACACACACACGCGCGCACGCACACACACACACACACACACACACACACACACACACACACACACGGGAGAGAGAGAGAGAGATGCCTAAAACAAAAAACCAGAAGTTCACAAGTCAGGGCTTATGTTCTCACATTTTTATCTTTGTATTTCTAGTTTTAAATGGACCTTGACCTCCTGTAGTAATGTATAGTGGAACCAAGCCAAAAAGCCACTTAAGTGGTCATTCTAACGTAAGGCAGAGTTTAGGGAAGAAACAAAAGGGTTTTTCAGTTCTAGGCACTGAAGCCACTCCCTGCATATATATGTTAGGAAAACATACACCATTGTAGTACACCACAACCCTGGGGGCCTCTCTCTAAACTGAATTAACTTGGGAATTTAGGAGTATAAGACATGTCTGTAAGCCTGCATGGTAATACACTCCTGTAATCCCAGTCCTCAGGCACAGAGGCGGGAGGGTTGCAAGCCTGGGTATATAATGAGACACTGTGCAGAAGACAGCAAACACAGCAGGAAGGACATCTTCGCTTCGGTAGCAGAGGCAGTTTCTAAACTAGAGCCACACCTTGGTGACAGGGCAGCTAAGAATGGCAGTGCCAACAGGGACCTCACCGTTGACTCTAACGCTTTGAGTAGTTTGGGCTGGGCTCTAGCACAGAACTGTATCCAATATGTGGTTATCCCTAGATATGAAACATCAGTGGATGAAAATACTAGTTAGATTGTAGGGTTTGAGAATGAGAAGTCAGTCACAAAAACTTGGTTAAGCTCTGATAGAGAAGTCTGGGGAATGGAAAAGTGATTTAAGTCAAATAGCATTTATAAACTTATAGTAATTTAACTCTGAATATAGATACAGTTCTTGCACTGACAAGTATATTGAGAATATGGCTTTAGCGTTGAGCTTCCCACCTTAGCCGGAGGTTATGAGAACACGGCTATAGCAGACACTGCCTTAGTATCTGAACACTGCTTGGTCACTTCTGAAGAATATACACTGAGATCAGCAAGGTAGGAGCTGGTGAGTTCTGAACAATCGTTTCGATGTTTTGCTTGGTAGATCCCATCTCAGCATGAACCTCGCTCTCCTCACTGTGAGGGAAGAGCATAGGGGAGGAATGGCCCAAGTGAGGCCGTCCCGGCTGTCCCGGCCTGCCAGTGCCGCCCTGTGCCTTTGGGTGTTTTCACTCTGGGCCGTTTCCCTCTCTGCTTCCCTTTGACCTTTTTTGTTGCTCCTTTGTGGCTGTGTTGACAAGCCACATGTGTTGCAGCCCGGGGTGGCTGCTCCAGGAGTGAGGAAGCTTTTCCAGCAGAGGGACACAGGGCAGATGGCAGGTTGCTAGGTTGATCAGGAGCTAGGAAGCTCAGTGACAAGCCAACCTCTTCTGGGTTTCATTTAGTTTTGGAGTTTCTTAGTTTTGAGACAGGGTCTCCAGTCGTTTTGGCTGATCTTGAAATCCTCATGTAACTGAGGGTGAGTTTGAGCTCTTGACACTCCTCATTCTACTACCTGAATGCCAAGATGATGGTCATATGCCAATGCCAGGGCTTAGGTGGTGCTGGGGTCCAATAGAGGACTCCCAGCATGCTAGGCAAGCACCCCAGCATCGAAGTCAAGCCCAGCTTGAGCTTGGCATCTTTTAACTTTGGCCAGGATATTATACTTTCTCGGTTTTTGTTGTCTTAGTTGTACCTTGACTGTGCCATTATTTCATCTACCTCCAATTTCTTTTTCTGAATGATAGCCTTTAAATAAAAAACAGGTATTTCAGGCCTGGAGAGGTAGCTCAGTGGTTGGGAGCACTTGTTCTTCCCAAGGACCCAAATTTGGTCCCAGCACCCATGCTGGACTGCTCACAACCACCTGTAACCCCATCTCCAGGGGATCTGACACTGTTTGGCACCCACCTACATACTGGCACACACAGATACTTCCTCAAGACCCCCAGATATTTCCTCAAGTTTCCCCTTAGGAAACTTTTTTTTTTTTTTTTTTTTTTTGTCTTTGGTTTTTGTTTTCTCCTATTTTTGTATGATGTCAGATATAAGTGCATTTCAGGTCACTTCCTCCCTGCTCTTAACAGGGGCTCCCCTGCGCGGGGAAGCCCAGCAGCAGAAGCCGCTGTGCTGCGCACCTGCCTTCTTTGCCTTGGGTGGAGCTGGGGCCTGCACTCTTCCACCCTGAACACAGCTGCTCTTCTCCTTTGCTTGCAGGGCAGCAGCTCATCCCAGCTGCAGTCATGGACCGTCCAGCCCTCCTTCGAGGTTATCTCAGCACAGCCACAGCTCTTCGTCCTTCACCCACCCGTGCCATCCCCTGTCAGCCCGTGCCACACTGGTGAGAAAAAGTCAGACTCCAGAAACTACCTGCCCATTCTAAATTCTTACACCAAAATAGCCCCCCACCCAGGCAAAAGGAGCCTTCCCCCCAGCTCAGAAGAAAGAGGAGGAGCAAGTGGGTTACAGAAGAAAGTGTGTACCGAGAGACTGGGGCCGGTCCTGGCTTCCAGTGAGCCAGCCAAGACTGGCCCTGTGCTATGCAGCCCTTCCACTCCAGCCCCGCCCAGCTCCAAACTCACTGAGGACTCTGCTCTACAAGGAGTGCCCTCCCTGGGGGCTGGTGGGAGTCCACAGACTCTTCAGCCTGTGTCCAGCAGTCATGTGGCTAAGGCGCCCAGCCTGACCTTCGCGTCGCCTGCCAGTCCTGTGTGTGCGTCAGACAGCACTCTGCATGGCTTAGAGAGCAGCTCCCCTCTGTCGCCACTGTCGGCCAGTTACAGTTCACCGCTGTGGGCCGCAGACCTCTGCCGCAGCCCAGACTTCTTTTCCGAGCAGAGGCAGAGCAAGCACAGGCGCTTCCAGAATACCTTAGTGGTCCTCCACAAGTCTGGTTTGCTCGAAATCACGTTGAAAACCAAGGAGTTGATTCGTCAGAACCAAGCGACTCAGGTGGAACTAGACCAGCTGAAGGAGCAAGCCCAGATGTTTATAGAGGCCACCAAGAGCAGAGCTCCTCAGGCGTGGGCCAAATTGCAGGCATCACTAACATCTGGGTCCAGTCATTCAGGCAGTGACCTAGATGTGTTGTCTGATCACCCAGACATATAACACAGAGGCATTTTTCAGTTATTTGAGTGGTTCCTTTAACTCTTTTGCTATTACTACTACCTACACTTATTTCCAACAGCTTATTTAAGAGCTTTCCTTCCTCAACTCACTCACAAAGCCACATGCCAGGTCCTGGCTGCCGTCCTAATCTGTGGTTCATGCACAGGTTAAGCACATTTATGTTCCTCTGAGGACCTCCAATTGTGAGTGCCTGTGAGTCCCTTTTCCTTAGCCCGTGGGCACTTAGCTAGATCTTGGGACAAAGGAGAGATGACTGTGTGGGTCTCTTCCAGCTTCCCACTCACCATCCCTGACCCAAGGTACAGTGACATGGATGAGTGTACAGAAAGACACTTGTCAAACCTAAGGATCCCTTCATGGCCCTCCTTCAAGTGTCTTAGTCACAGAGAAAAGTAAGAGGATGTGTTTGTATTCTACCAGGCATCGTGCCAGTTGGGCAAAACCTAAAATGCTTTGGGCACAGGTTGTGCCTGGGTGCAAGCACTTAATCACATAAAGCTTTGTTTCTTGCACTTGAAAGTCAAGGAAGAAAGGACAGAGCCATCTCATCTGACTTACACTGATCACACCAGATCTCACACAAGTAGGCACATCATTCAGACTTTTAAAATATAGGCTGACTTAGTACCATCTGGGATTGTATTTGATGAGTTGCTTTTTTGATTAAGGGCTCAAAGAAGCCAACATTATTTTGTCACTAGCTGGAAAGTTTTGTTAATTCATGCTTGAAATAGCACAACCTGTCTTTACATCTAAAAAGCTTGAGTCAGGACTGCAAGAGGTACTTGCTGCCAAGTCAGATGACCTGAATTTGATCCCCCTGAACCCACATGGTAGGAGGAGAGAACCAACTACTACAGTTTGTCCATCACATATGCACACACACTAGATAAATAAATGAATATGAAATTAAAAAACAAGCCACCATCAACATTAACACAATCAAAAGCCTGAGATGGCATCAGTGGGTCCTCAGAGTCTGGTGTAAGCTACCCTCTGCTGCGCCTCACCCAGCTGTTTCTGAGGGGAGAATGACCCTTCTCCATTCACATCTGAGTTTCACTCATCCCCTGTGGTGATGGGGAGCCAGTGTGGAAGTCTTGTGTCTCCTGTTAGATGTAGCAGCAGAGCTGAAGTGTGGTGTTCTCTGAGGCTGACCTTAGGACGGAAAATGTGAGGAGGTTCCAGAGGACACATTCCTTTCAGCTTCCTTGTGCTGGGAACTAAATGTCTAAACAGTAAGGAGTCAAAGGTGTATCCCCTTGTTCAAAATTTTCATCTTCCTGAAGAATCTTTGGTTTTTACAAATTAACCTGGTTTTATGACGAGCATCATCTATCTGCAGAGACAGAGCTCATGGGCTTTACAAGGTCCAGAGTAAAGGGTCCCATTTATTAGGGAGTTGTTGTAATTCTAACAGTTTTTAAAAAGTAAGATTCAGGTTGACTCTACTGTGTTTATAAAGACATGTCTTGGATATGACTGGTTGGAAAATAATCAACATGGGGGTCTCTCTCTACTCTGATCAACACAGAATTATTACCTGCTTTCTGAAAGTTGTTTGCTTTCTGAAAGAGTTTACAAAGGCAGAGCCACTGTCTCTGGGCAGACCCAGCTCCTTGTGATACGCTCCCCTAAATCTGTGTGGTATCATAGCCACTCCACTAGGAAGCTTCCTTTTTGGCAGAATGTTTGGCAGGAAAGCTGTACAGACAGGTGCATTCGGAATTGCCTGGGCACCATCCATGAGCTTTACCAAGCATCAGGCTGGAAGCACTTGATGAGAACCAAATGTACTCCTCTGGCAACCCTTCTGTGGAGCTGTAAGCCTCTTGGACTCTTCCTCCTAGATTTGCACTTTGTTTCCCTCCCTGTCCCCATAAAAGATGAAAGCCACCGTAGATCTTCACTGCTGAGTGGCAGGGAGGGTTAGCACCCCCAGACACTGCTCCTCCGTGACCTTAGAGCCATAGCTGCAAGTATCTAGGCTGTTAGTGCAGTGTTCTGTTCCTGGTGGAGCTGGAAGCAGATGGGCTCCAGCAGAGAAGCCAGATCTTAAAAGGAAAAATCCTTTGAGGTCAGAGGCTAGACCAGCACTTAGAGGAAGCACGGAGTGGACCGGAAAGATCTTCATTGGCCACCCAAAGCTGTAATGTAAGTAGCAATGGCCTCCGTGGTGCATGCTGTAAGTCCTTATGAAGCATTGTGCAGGGCATTTGTTTTTCCAAGGTGAGAAGTCAGTTTTAGCTCAGGCCAACCCATAGGAGATCCTTTGTCAGGTGGTATTGGCAATGCTGGAACACAGAAGCAGAACGGTTCCTGATTGAATTGGTTATAGAATTAACGTTGTTTGTAGTTTACTACCGTTTTATTGACCATAGCATCATCTGACTTCTTCTCTGGTATGATTCCTCAGCACACAAGTTACTCTTGCACATATACTGAAGTGGCCTTTCAGCCACAACCTCTTTAGGGTAGAGACTATTTACCAAATGTGAATTCTTTTAAGAAAGTGTGAAGTTATGTAGAAATTGGCTGTGAAATATCAGGAAAAAAAATAATAAAAGTCACTTACTTGAAAACTGTTTGCTTTGTAACTGCTTAAGAATTCTAAGGACTGGGCATGTAGCCGTTGGTAGCGTGACCGCCTAGTATGTGTGAAGCCCTGGGCTCTACCCAGCACCTCTGCCCTCCCAGCCACTCCTCCCAAAAAACCCTAAAGAAATTTAGAATAACTGTGGATTACTTGAAGTTTCAAGTATCATCTTGTGTTATTTGGGATGTGGAATTGGATGCTGAATATTGGAGACAGTTCAGACTTGGGTGCTGTGCAGATAGCCCGAGTACTCTGCCATGCTTGGAGGCAGAAGAGTGAGGGGCTGTCCAGTGACTTCCTCCAACTGACATACCACAGAACTTCCAAATGACAGTGGCTACGCTGTGTACTGGGATGAAGTAAAGCCACATGTCTGAAGGTCTTTCTACAACAGAGGGGTCCTTAGCACACATGCCAGCCTTCCTCTGTGTGCCCTACAGAGAGGCATCTTCCCGCTGCCCAGTCCAGCCAAGAACTGCTTCCTCTACGTTTGATAGCGGGAGTGTAACACGCTTACTCCCGTGAAAAGATCTGCAGGGTTGGCAGGGGGAAGTCCTCTAGCATTATTTCTGAACCACACAGTGGTCTGAGTGACTAACATATGCTTATAAGGCCACTAAAACAAATTTAAAACTGGGTAAATATGGCTCAAGAAGGCCCTTCTGAAATAGACCATCCTCCAGAAGTGGCATCCAGAAAAGTAGAGAAAACAGAAAGTCGATCCTGTGAGTCATAGGAGAGTCCCATTCCTTGATCCGTGCTCCTTATCGACCCCACCACATGGTTCCCATGTGAGGAAGCATCCAGGCATCTATGATTATCTGTGAACATCAGTTTAAGCCACATCTTGGAAGCGTCCACCACAGTTCATAGCCTGGTGCCAAAGAGACCAAGGACTGGCTTTTGTTTATCATTTCTGTTTCATTTTTGTTTTTCCAGGTCACTGGAGATTGAACCTAGAGCCTTAGGCATGGCAGGCAGCTGCTCTACCCCTGGGTGAAGTCCTATCCCTGATGAACCTACTATTCTGGTGACTTTAGCTAAGTCACATAGCCTCTGAGCTGACTAATAAAGCACTAAGGTTCTTCCCAGCATTACTTTTTATGAGATCTGTAGCTGTGGGTTAGCATGACTACTCAGTGAGTGAAGGCACTTACTGCCAACCCTAGTGGCTTGAGCTGACCACAGAGCCCCATATGGTAAAAGGAGAGGACAGGCCCGTGAAAGTTGTTTTCTGAACTCCATTTTAAAAGTTGGCTTAGATGAACCATAGGTGAAATCAACAGACTAAAAAGGACTAATGTTAGGACCTGTGCTCCAGTGAGACGGCCTCATATCTGTGTCTGGTCAGATCTGCTGGAATTTGTCAGTCTGCCACCGTCGCCTTTCCCCTAAGTACCTGATTGCAGCCGGCATATTCACTTGTGCCCATATAAAAACTGCCCTCAGCCAGACATGGTGGCTTTAACCCCAACACTCAGGAGGCAGAGGCAGGTGGATTTGTGTGACTTTGGGATCAGCCTGGTAAACAGAGAGTTCCAGGACAGCCAAGGCTACAAGCAAGACCCTGTCTCAACAAGTGCAAAGCACTGCCATTTTTTTTTTTTTTTTTTTTCTGTTTGGGGGCAGTATCTTGCTATATAGCCCAGACTGATCTTAAACTTGTGGCCCTCTTGCGTCAGTTTGGCAAGTAAGACATTTATTAATTTGACTGTTGAGTGCTGAATGACGATTGAGCCCAGGGCCTTGCATATTAGACAAGCTCTCTGCCACACTGAGCTACATCCCTAGTTTCTTCAAAAAAGGGATTAGTTGTGTATGTGGTGTATGCATATATGTACATGTGTATGTACACATGTATGCACATGTGTGCTCTGATACCCTCTCCCACGCTCTGTCTCATTCCCTTGAGACAGGGTCTGTCATTGAATCTAAAGCACCATGGTTTTTTGTTAGACCAGCAAGTCTGAGCAACCCAGTGTCTAACACTCCTGGTGCTGGGATTCCAGGTGCACGTGACCACACGTAGCCTTTTACACAGATGTTGGGGATCTGAACTCAGGGCCTCGTTTCTGCAGCAAGCACTCTTCCTCACTGAGCCATTTTCTCAGACTCAAACAAATTCTTACTAGCTAAAAATAAGGGCATTTGGGGATCAAATCACATCCTGCTCTTTTCTGGTAACTTCTCTGAAAACAGTCCTTTCTTTCATCTGAGATGAAAGGTATAACTGCTTTTAAAAAAGGTCTTTGGAGTGTGTCAGTTGGCTTTTTATTTCCTTTTCAGTTTCTCTCTCCACGAGCAGGGATGATGCTTCTCCACATATTGTCAAGAGCTGTGGGCCAAGTGAACATTTTCACTGTCAGTAGCCAGGGCTAACAGATGTTCTGGCTCTCTGTGAGGT